ATCCAACAAAAAAAAACAGAGAATATATGTGAATGGGTAACCTTTTAATAACATTGAGTTGAATGCAGACTGTAATGGTGGAAAAAACACACTGATCTAGAGTTTTCCAAGGTTGGGCAATTGTTATTTTGGCTGCTAAAATTAAATAGATAATACACTCTTTATTTTTAAGCTTGAGGTTTGGTCCTGTACCAGGGAAGTTAGTTGGCAGTTCAACAGGCTGTGCAAACTCAGGTGATCAGGCTCATGCAAGAATGCAGGGTTCACTGAACCGTGGATCAGCACGTTGTGTGACCCCAGGGAAACACAGTGGAATATGTGCAGCCCGCACCATAAAACATCTTGTCTCCGCGTCTCCCAACCCTCGAAGGGCCTCCCCGTCTGAATCCACGTGTCGGCATCCTGCCCGCACGTTAGCTACTATGAGCAAGCTCCGTTCAAAAGGAGCGGGGTGTGATCAGACTGATCCACACGAGCCCCGTGCCACCAGCACCTATGCTGGATGAGGAAGTTTCCGGCATCCATCAGCAGAGCTAGCCAGATTAGCGTGGCCAAGATGGAGAAGCGTTTTCCACGTGGCGTGGCCTCCTCCTGCATCAGAGCTTCTGCCTTCAAACAGCCTTGCAGGGAAGGAGGGAGAACGCCGACATACCGCCTGGGCGTCTTCGTTCTCAAACGTCAGTAGCTCCAAGGTGGAATCTCCTTCCATCGGCCGGTCGAGGTCCCACAATTCCCCATTCACTCTGGCGATGACGGCGCTGTCAGCGACTCCTTGGCTACAGAGGGCAAGAGAGGCTAACGGTTTCGCTGCTGCATAGTTAAAATAACCCAACAGCCCCCTCCAGGTTTGGCCCAAGGATCATCTGGTCATCTCCTCTGGACCCCTCTGTGTGTTTAATTGTACAATCGCAGAGAAAGGGATAGGGGACAAGGTCAGCCGCGCAACACACATTAAATGTAGACATGTAACAACACCCATCATTTCACGGTAACCTTTTAGGTTATAAATTTGTGATATTTAAAGTGTTCCAATATTCATCTGTGGTCTTTTTACCTGTGGGCCTACATCTGGCCCATGAGTTGCTCACCATCTTCCTATAAAGTTAGTCCTCGACTTACTACCATTCGTTTCACAACTGTTCAAAGTTACAACAGTGCTGAAAAAAGTGATTTACACCTGGTCCTCACACTTATGACTGTCACACGGTCCCCGCTGTCACATGATCAAAATTCGAGCACCTGGCAACCAACATATATTTCCGATGGTTGCAGTATCCCAGGATCACATGATCACCATTTGAGACCTTCCCAGACAGCTTCTGACAAGCAAAGTCAACAGGGGAAGCTGGATTTGCTTAATGACCACATAATTCACTTAACGACTGCAGCACAAAAGTTCATAAAATCGGGCACAACTCACTTAACAATCGCATCTCTTAGCAATTATAACTGTGGTCATAAGTCAAGGACTACCTGTCATTCTAAGCCAGCTACAGATCACAGGTAAAAAAGGCCGAGGTTGGCACGAGGTTTCAGATCAACCAGACTGACTTAGGATTACAGGCCTCCGGTTTTCAGCTTCACAAGGGGACAACGGATTGCATTCTCAGAAACGTTTTATCTGCGAACGTACTCCAAGCTTACCTGAGACCCACAGCGATCTGGTGTGGCGTCGTATTCCAGGCCTGTCCTTCCACCACCTTCCCATCGGAAAGCGCGATTCTGATTGTCCGACTCTGGCCGGACGCTCTAGAGCGGAGAAGCGCGTCGCTCTCTTTCTTCAGCCCCTCGTAGAGCTCCAGCCTGCTCCGGATGAAGGGCAACTCCTGCAGAAGCTGCAAAATGGCGCCTGGCAGAACTTCCCTGCAGCCAGGTAGGCCTGGACTGGGCATCCCCCCCAGCAGAGCCACAGGCAGGCCCAGACCAGGGCCCCAGCACCCAGCACCCCGCCCCCCAGACCACCTACTTCTTGTTGGCCCCCATCTGCAGCGCGGGGCTCGCTCCTCTTCCTCTGCCCCCTCTCCTCCCTCCTCGGGGCA